AGAGAGAGAGAGGGCTCTCGGATGTCGGGTGGGCACTTGCACCACACCATCTCAAGATACGATGAGACGGTTTAGCTTACGTTGGGTATGTGCCTAGGTTCTGTTAGAATAGAGTTGCCCAGCTTCATCCACATAGGTGACAAGTGAGTGAACAAAAATTGGCTTGCTTGCTATCTAAGAGATGAAGTCTTAGTTGGCAGAGGGATGTCCAGTTGTGTAAGTTAAACGTTGCATGATGCCCGGCGACCAATCTTTGATCTACTCCCGGCCGTTCGGTCAGTTCGCCACCTTGTCCTTTAATGATACGATAATGTGATAGGGTGTAGTCAAATTTGTCGTTGTAGCCATCGGTTTCGGAAAGTAGGCAGACTCTCAAGATGGAGGATGACGATACACTGCCGGTGATGTGAGCTCTCCCCTGGTCTCGACTCCACCGCCCCCTCCGCCCCCCGGTGTCCCATTTCAACGAGGCCGTGTGTCAGCTGTGGTCTTCCCAGCAAGTGACATGACTTGGTTTCTTAGAAGAAGAGGCTCGTACGGATATCGTTATCTGTACATGGCGTTGAGTAGGGAGTACGTAGCCTTGACATAGCAGGAGCAGGAGAATTGATAAACCATCTACATTCAGAGGCAGGCAGTGAGCTCATGCATTGCAGAGTGAGGCCTGGCAAGAGGACAGAGAAAACGGCGGAGGGAATTGTTGTTCCGATCCGCCCGATCTTAAGTTGGAAGTCACGAAATGTTCAGGTTTCGTGCTTGATTGCTCTCATCTTCTAGCTTAGGTACAAGATACCCAAAGCCAGAGTACATAAGGTAGGTTCCTAAGGTACCTAAGATACCTACCTTAAAACTGTCAGTAGGTACGTGCTGCATTCACCAGATCACGTGTTTCTCTTTTTTCCAAACCGTGCTTGCTCAACTCGACTTGGCAGACATCCCGCACCATCATCCATGTGATCCACGCCCCCCCCCCCTTACCATTCTCCCCTTCTGATTCTGCTCCCGCTTCACCCTTTTCGCTCCTTCAACAACAACCCCACCACCACCACCACCCACCTCACATTACCATCCAGCCATCCATTCTTTCAACTGCACGTCGCACAGCCTTCCATCGACCACCCACCCTATTCCCACCCTTGTGTTGATCATTCTTCAATTTCTCGGGGACCTGAGCCTCCCACCCCGCCTGGGTTCCTGGCGTTGGGTGCTTATGAGCAGGGGTGGCCTGTGGTCCCTTGTTCTGCAGCTCGCAACTTACTGGCTCGGCTTGCGTCTGCTTTCTGTAGACGACATGGGAAGATCCTGTTCACCCTGTTCCCTGTCCGAAGTGACAAGCTTGATGGCAATAGTCTTTTCTCCTCCGTGTTTTTTTTTTCTCTTTCTCGTCGTCCCTATCTTTATTTGCTTTTTCCTTCTAACCATCCCCCCCCTTTACCCTATTCGTGAACTCCTCCCTGCAGACACAGCTAAGGTAGTAGCTATGCAAGCCTATCCGTACCCGTAGACGCAATTCTGTCGCGAGCTTGTACCTGGCCAAGTTGGGCTAGGGAACCTTGACCCGAGTATTCTCGCCCGTCATTGAAAATTCGGCCTGTTGCTTTTCAGAGGTTGGTCCCTATTTGACTTAGGACCGAGGCTGTTGGCCGGTTTCGCAAACCCGCGGACCCGCCGTTCGTTGCTCGGATTGCACTCCGTTGTGAAGCTGCCGCGACCAGTCTATCCATAGTAGAGCCCCGTATCTGTACGTTTCGTCTTCTTCTATCTTCCTTACTATTCCTAATGGACCATCAATCATCTTTCTGCACACTTTCACATGGTGTCCACACAGCTGTTGTCGCCATGAGCCTACCTTGACTCTAGTGCCGTGTGGTATTGTCCTATTCGTGCCTTACTGGATACGGATACTCCGACAATATTTGGCCGGCTCCAAGCGGGAGCACAGCTTCCATGTCTTGACGATGTTCCCATTCTCCACTCAAACACATGGCGCATCGCGGCTCAAAAGTCATGCCGTTGTCTTTTCGTCCCCTCAACTCTCGAGTCTTACCCAGGTACTAATGTGTGTCCTGACCAAGTGTATCTGTAGAGCAATTCCACGAGTTTCGTAGCAGAGATCTACTTGGATGTATCAGCGTAACAACACGCAAATGTGGGAATATCAGCTTCGGCTAGGTATGAAGAGCAGCAAGACACACTTTGAACATCAGTTCCATCATCAACTCTGCAACATTTTGGGGTATCGACTGACGAGACGTCGAATCAATCTTCAGCACCCCAGGTCTTTCCACAACCCTTCCACTGACCCTAGCTACCTAGGGTTTGAAGCCTGGCCCCTGGTCAGGCACGAATCAATACCCGCGCGGAGTTCTAGCTCAAGCAAATCAGCGAAGCCGACGCAGCAAGCCACGGTCCCCCCCTATCGTCCCTCCCCTGTGCCGTTCACACACTGACACTCGTGTATCCCGTACTTTGTACTCTTCCATTGAGCTCGCAGGCACGACAGGCCTTTTTCGTCTCCATTTGTACGCATTGTTCACCTACTCCCTGTTTCCCTGACGCAAAGCCACAGGCGTTTGGCACCGCGAAAACGAGCCACCAGCATGGGCACAGGTACGGTACACTACGGAGCGCCAGATCCCACCGTCACCCATCCCAAGTGTGCCCATCTGTCTTACCTAAGGCGTACCACGCGACAACGAGTGCCCCTCCCTGGCTCTGGCTTCCCTCAGAGTACGTATTATTGGCTGTCTCTCAACGGCGACGTACATGCTAGGATATGTGCCCCAATGGTTCCGGCACCGTGCCGACGATATTCGCGAGCGAGAATAGTGCTATAATCGGCATCGACTAGAAATCCCAAACACAAGTCTGTTGCCAGACGCCGTTATGCGCTGTGCGGTTGGAATTTACGTGGGTATTGTTCTATTTCCAATTAAGCACAATACGCGCGACTTTGGAGCCGCGCTGGGTGGGAAGCAAAGCTGCAGGCATCCGAGCCTACAGGCTACACCAAACCACCGGGGGTGGTGGGACGGAGTAAAGTTTTCTTGATGACAATCTATTAGAGTGACATCGACCAAAGGCAAAACCGCAGTCAAGTTAGCATGCCACGCGGGAAGCGGGCGAGGCAGGGCAAGGGACCGGAAAGGTAACAAGAACGGTAAGCAGATTGGAAATGTCAAAAATAACCCAATTCTACGAACAGCAGGCACAGACGGTTGGTTAATGGCAAAAAGGAAGGAAAAAAGGTGCATTGGTGAACGACGGCGAGAAAGTTTGAACCTCCAGAGAGTGAGTGCTTTAATCAGTCCATGATTGTACCCGCCACACACCATATCACGCTCCTTCTACTAGCATCCGACGTGTAGTCAATGAGTTGTGACAGAATGCCTGTGTCACTACCTAGTACCTCGAGGACACGACGAACTCTTCGCACACTACCCAAGCACCGGATGGAGTATGGAGTGAAGCTGGGGGGATCCATCAGCCTAGCTCCGTCCTGTCTCACTCTCACGCCCGGCGCAGTCGGGACAAACACAAGAGGCTGCGGGACGAAACCAGTACGAAAGGGGAATTCTCGAGATGGGAGCTGACTTTGCATTTTCCGGCCTTGTCTTTCGGCTTTGTCCCTGACGCGCTTCGGAACTGGGGTAAAAGAGCCCGTCTGCCGATATAGACGTGGTTGGCGGAGGCAGTCCTCGATTACGAGAGACCAAGAAGATGTCACCCGCAGGCACGCACGTACGGATACATACGTACCCCTTGTGGTCCCGGTGCCCCTCCTACGGTCTACCCAAGTCAAGGTAGTGTTGGAACAACGTGGAAGGGGTTTACAGATGGAAATTATCCTCGCAATCGGGATCACTCCCTCACACCTACCTATCCACTGGTTACTGCTACTATGCAAGAACACCTAGGCTATGTTGAGCCAAAGCGTTTTCGATGGTACTCGCCTCACCTACAAGAAGTTCGTCTCGATGGTCGATGATGCCTCATCTTACGTGTTGTTCACTGGTCCTTACGCACTCCTCCTTTCACTTCTTCTTCATACCCTCTCGCTTTCCGTTCTAGTGTCATCACTTCATCCACAACCGAGCGTCTTGAGGCGCAAGCGTGGTATGACTGACGCGGCAGTTGCATTGATAGCCCTATTCGTACTTGGAGGGGGGGCATCAATCAGCCTCGCTCGCATCGAACCCTGCGATGGTTATGTTCTTTTGCTGGACCCTTCACTTCGGCGTAGCCTAGCCTCGCCTTGGACGAAATGAAATAATTCTCAACGGGCGAGATTTGCCAACGGGCAGGTAGGGGACCAGGTGCCGTAGCCAAGAGGCTGGTTGTCGCCATGGATGCGTCGAGATGAAATTTAGCGGCCCCTCGACCCTTGTCTTTTGACCTTACTTAACATTCTTCCCCAACTTTGCAGCACAGGCGTCAAATCTGCTTCTCCTCTGCATTTACAAAGTAGTCTCTGATTACCGTCTGCTGCCCCTGGATACTCTCACTGTATCTTGTCCTTGCATCAACCCGTATGAGCGCTCTGTTGTTGACGACAGCCACAACGAAGTTGCTATCCCTGGGTAATTCGCTACTTCTGGCGCATCTGGTGGCCTGTGTGCGCGAAGTAGCGATCTTCTACATGTTCGGCGCAGACATGTTCCTTGTCTCAAGTCAGGCTCTCACACGGCACGCAAAGCAAGACAGGGAAGCTTGGAATTGGACGACGGGCTGGCTTTGTTTTCTTCTGTTTCCCTCCTTGTTTTCTTCAACATTTTGGCTCCCGAGCCCGCCGCCTGTGCTCTCCCTGCGCTGCCTTTCCCTTCCCGTAACCTTCTGTTCCTCTTGCCACGGCCCCCCACCGCTGCCGCCTTCTACCGGCTCGACCGTGCCCTCTTCCTCTTCTTGGCTGGCGGGTCATGAGAGGTTCCATCCAGTGTTGTAGCAGAAGGTCAGGCAGCCAAGGCATGGTGCAAGGGCCAGCCGTTGGGTATCCGTAGACGTTACGGTATCAGAGGTATCAGAGGTATCAGAGTGTCAGTGTCGAGAGTCCTTTTGTATTGGAAGGGATGGATGCCACAAGCGATGGCATGTCGAACGCCGTGCTTTACCTGACGGTTCATGCCTCTTGGCCCATTGCAATTTACCTTATACAGTCCTACATAATAAGGCAGGATACCTACATGAGGCATGGAGTGGAGTATTGTAGAGAGACAGTCTGCCGAAAAAGCACTAGCAGGCACGTGCATGCTTTCATCTCTCCCTTGAGTGGGTTGGCTAGACTTGGGGCCCAGATGTCTTGATTCTCCAGTCATGGCAACCTACGTACCCTGAGGACAATGTATCCGTAATAAAGAGTGGAAACTTGGAAGGTGACGGGAACTGCAAGGGGGCAACGGGGGAGAGAGAACCCCAAGAACAGTTCCTTCCTATTGTCAAATTGACGATACGTCCCCATACTCCATAGGTAAGGTACTCTGTGACTCTGTGCCTTCCTTTTGACAGAAACGTCTTGGTGGGGCGTACGCCTCGTCCCGAAGAGGTCTTTTTCATCACCTCTTGCGACTTCCATACGGAGTACATACACATCCCCAAAGCAAGAGGATTCGACATCAATAGCAACCAGTAATTGCCAATGGCATGACAGATACCGCACCACCTGCGCATCCACCTTTTACGTTTCAACCATCTGGTGTGGTTGTCGACGTTGTCGCCGCCGGCTCGCCTCTTCCCTCTTCCTGATACCTCTGGCCGTGCCCATCTTCCACCCTCATCGCCGCCTTGTCCCTCTTGCATCTTCATCTCTATGCCCCCCCCCCCCCTTTCCCTCCTCTTCTCACCTTTTCCTTTTCACTCCCACCCGACCGTTTAACGCCTATCCCATCCCATCCTGTCCATCCGACCTTATCCTATCTAGCTCATAGTTGCCTTCCCTGTCTATCCATCCTGTTTCTTTTCCTTCAATCCAACCGTTCGTTGCCGTCTTTGTCCTCGTCCTCGTCCATGTCGACCAGTCTCCTCCCCGATTTTGAATCTATCAATCCGAGCACAAACTTGGCGCTGACACCTCGCGGACACTGGACGCTCGGTGATTTACTGCTCCCCTCAACTTGCAGGTGCTCAGCACCGCTTGGCCTCGCAAGGCCTTCAAGCGGTCTTTGGAGTATTGGAGAGGAATTGGTCCAAACACACACAGTGGCCTCACACTCCCCCTTCCTTGTCGTCGGGCAGCTCCCCGCTGCCAGGAAGAGATGGGTATGGCTAAGTATCCAATTCTGCAATTGCACAGCCGTTTCTCTGTACTCTGCCATGACGCCGGACCACCAACCGCAGCTCATACCCAGATCCCTCAACATCAAGTTCATTGCATGTTTTATCTGCCCTCATGTATCTTCGCCGTTGCTCATACCAAGTGTCAGCTACCTTTGTCCGTCTCGGCTCTCGCGTTCCTTGTCACTGTTGCAATCGTACTCAGTATTGGTTTGCCGTAGCTGGTGATGTATTCGTTGTCGACATTTGTTTCATCGAAAGCTGCCGTAATTGGCTTCAACCAATGCTCAGGGCATGACAATACAGGTCAAGCAGAAATACGAGAAAAAGATTTTGCTCCCGTCGACCCGCCAAATAGTTGGCATCAAAAGCCAAAAAGTAAATCAGGCAAACTATGGCTACCAGCCCGAATCAAGCATCAAGCACCGGCCAGCAGTTGTCGTTCGATCCCGTCGCCTTGCTTTGCCCAAGCTCTTTCTTTATCTCCCCTCTCGGTCCTTGTGTGGGAAGCTTACCTTGAGGCATTTGAGCTTAACCTTGTCGGACTCTTTCCCTCACCCAACCTTGACCATGCGTCCCACACCAATACCAATACTAGAACGAGGGACGACGACATCGACAACAACAACAACTACTACTACTACTACTACAACAATAGGAGCAGCTGCTTCCGACCAGCATCTGGTCTCTGCCTGTTGCCTTGCACACGCTGTATGGCAGAATTTGGTCCTCGGCAGGATGTGCTCATGGTATTGCCGACTTACAGCAGAACGGGCAGCCCATGCCAAGCATCTACGGATAGAAATATCAGCACCGGCACAGATGCCAAGCCAGAGATGGCTATGGATGAGATAGCATCACAGGGTGCTGTAGACTGGCAGACAGACTAAGAAGTTGGAAGAGCCACAGCAATAACACGCCCAGAGGTACCGTACGGGCAGAGAGAGCGCAGCAGGTCTTGGCACGCTTGGTCGGTTCGACTCAGTCGACTCAAGCCCAGCCCAGTCGAGTCCTGGTGCCATCTACAACGCCCTTCTTGTTCATCCACCATCAGTCACCCCACCCATTGGTCCTGACAAGTGCCCATCTCAAGGCTGTGCTGCATAGGTATCCGTAGGTTGGTATCCTATGAGAAGTAGGGAACAGAAGGGGGGGGGGCAAAGTAGTCAGTGAGTGAGTGAGTGAGCACTGATGAGCAGCAACAGCAGCAAAGAGTAGCAGGGGAAAAGTCCATGCTCTCTTGCACACACTTTGGGTCTTCCACACCATGGATGGCGCTGGCATTAACTGGTATTGGCATTGGCGCAGGTACGGGTGATGGTACTCACAGCTGTCTGTACCTCTCTCTCTCTCTCTCTTTCTCTCGCTGTCTCTCTAGTCTTGGTCGGATACGATACCTACCCTGCTTCTACCTGGCCCTGCCGACTTGGTCCCCGCTTGAACTTGGTCGAGGTATTTCCCTTCTGCTTTTTTTTGATCGCCGAGCGTTTCCCCCAGCATCTGGCACGTCCTTTTTTCTCTCCAGGTCCACCACCATCATCCAAGGCATGGTATGTACTTTGTACACTACACACACACGTACGGATACACACACGCACACACTCACACACTCACACACTCACACACTCACACACACACCAAATATTCTCTCTCTGTGTCGTTCTTCTCTTTTCTGCCCGCCCGTCTCTTACTTACTCCTCCTTCCATTGCCCACCGTCTTCTTTCTCATACGGATGGATACCCAAGGCACTCCTCCCGCTGCACTGTTGTTTCTCTCTCACTCTCTTCCCTTTCTCTCACTCTTACCGTCCTCCTCTCTTACATCGCACTCCCTCCCTCTTTCTCCCCGTCTCTCCCACACGCCCTCCCCCCTGCCTCTAATCCACACTCCTCTTGTACCCCATCTCTCTCTCTCTCTCTGTCTCTCTCTCACTCTCTCCCCTCTCACTCTTCACACCCCATACCCTCCTTAGCTCAACCCCCCTGTATCCTGTGAGCTGGGTTGTGTGTCTTTGCGTCCTCTACGAATACACAGTTACCAGTAAGTAGTCCCAATCCTAGTCCAAGTCCCACCGCCGCCGCCGCCGCCGCCGTCTTTCCCTCCGCCTTGTCCTGCTTGCCTCCACACCCACCGGCTCTGCTTTGGAGGGAAAAGGGTACTGACTCTTTGGCTCTGTTTCTAGGCTCTGGCTCCCGCACCTGTGTTCTATCTACCCGTACCTCTTGTTGATGCGACTGATCTCTCTCTCTCTCTTTCTCGCGAATGCTTGTCACTTTCCACCTCGTCCGTCCCGTCGTCACTCGTCACTCTGGCCCTCCTTGACCTTGACCTTCTCCCCTCCACCTCCTCCACTTCCACCTCCTCTAAGGATACATCCTGTGCTGCCGCTACCGCCGACGCCGCTCTGCCCTCTGCCCCGTCCGCCTTGTCTTTCTTGGCTCTCGACGTACATGGTAGAGCTTCATCTGCTACCCTTGCTCGGCTTCAAACAGCTTCCTGATCTCCTCGACCGCGGCACCTTGCCTGGCCCTACGTCGGCATCCCGCCTTGAGCCCTGGGTCCGATCTGCCCTGTCTATTGTCTTAACCCAGGCCTGTCTGTACTATCCTGGTTCTCTGAGCTCGAGGCACCTCCATCTTGTTCTCGGCTGCCGTGGGCGCGCGCGCGCTCTCTCACCTCACTCCTCCCCTGATTGCACTGCAAAAAGAGTACATGGACATATTATTTCATCCAGTCTCCCGATCTTCACGCGCAATTACCAGTTTTACCGTCGGGCACCGACATTCATATAAGTCCTCGGCGACATCCAGTCTGCAGACTATTTCATCTACTTCTTGCTGCAGTCCCTAGCATCCGAAGCTCAGGATACCAGGAGTTCGAGGCTCAACCACTCGGTTCAAGAAATCAAAAACCTCCGAGGCCCTCCCTTCTGTTTACTCCCTTCCCGACATCTAAGATCTCAGGGTCCGTTCCACCCACTGCAGCAAAGCAAGGCAAACCAAAGCACACCACAGCACAACAGTACATCACACCGCATACATCAACCACCACCCACGCTCATTCCTTTGCAACAAGAATCTCGCCAGCTAGCTGCTCCTCATCCTCCGCACCCACCTACCTCTAACTCTCATCACTCCTTCTCTTCCCAGTGAGAAGGACGAGCCTCTTTCCTTCTTTCTCTCTCTCTCTCTCGCTCTCCCTCACGCACACACACACAATCATCCTCCTTCCTCGGAACCTATACCACAGTAATTGTTCTGGAACCTGGACATCCACCAGTTCACCGCAAACCGCCCCGACAGGAAAGAGAGAAACCCAGACCGCGCAGCTAACACGCCGCCAACATTCAACCGTGCTACGCTTGACAAACCTTAAAACACTGGATCTCACCATCAACCTCCGGTTCCTGACCCACGCAAGCCACAAGCCATAGACATACACGAACATCTATCCCGTTGCCTGCTGCTTCTGGCCGTACACATTCCGTCCTCAAGCTCCTCCTCTTGCTTGGGCCAGTCCAGAACTGTATACTCTCTCCGATCAGAGGCGTTGAGCCCGTCGCGCCATCCCACACCCAAGCTTCACGCGTCAGGTGACGGTAACCTTGAGTCTTCCAACACAGCTTCTGTTCTCGGTGGCTGAACCAGAAGACGGAAAGGTGAACAAGGAGGCGCTCGGAAGCATACATTCTCGCGACCTGGATACTACGATAAGCGCAGGGCGAACCACGGTCCCGCGTCTTGCTGCAGATTCAGAGCTCCACACACGTACCGTGTGGTACCTTACCTTACCCTCCTGCCCATTATATTCCCCTCCCTCTTCTCTCCTTCGCAGAAACGCTTTGGAAATTTAGCTTTAACAAGTCTTAATCTTCTTGTCGCCGTTGAAAGACTTTCTTCCCTCCTCCTCCCACCGGCGTTCCTTCTGTCTACGCCCTCCTCTTTCCATCCTCGCGCGTCTTAGTCTCAACATCACGCTCAACTGCGCGGCTCCATCACTGTTCTCACGAGCACTCGCTAGTCAAGTCAGCAGGGCTAGCTTCGCTTCCCTTCTCCTCCCCATCATCATCATCACCATCATCTGGGAGGACTGAACCTTTCACACTCTATTCAACATTTCCTTTCCAACGCATACACGTACTGCCGGTAAGTGGCGCAACTCTACCATCGTTACCGCAAACGTTCAACGTAACTTACACGATTAGACTCGGCGCAACCGGAAGCCAAAAATGGCGAATTCCAACGTCCCATTAAACCCAACCTTCATCGGCCACGTTGCTTCCACCCTCGACGCTCTGGTTCTCTTTGAAGCATGTCTGAGCAGTGCACTACACCATGTCCCCCGCAGACCACACGACCGCGAACGCCAGGATCTCATCAAGAGCGGCAATGTCTTCATCTACGAGGAGCACTCGTCCGGCATCAAGCGCTGGACTGACGGAGTTGCTTGGAGTCCCAGTCGTATCCTCGGCAACTTCCTCATCTACCGCGAACTCGACCGGCCGTTCCCGCCGGGCGAAAAGAAGCGCGCCATGAAACGTAACAAAAAACCCACAGGTGTAACGAAGCCTGAGGTCGCGCGCCAAGGCAGCGTCAACGGAGCTGCGTCTACTATGGGCATGGGGGATGGCTCGCAAGGCGGTAACAAGGACGCGGAGCGAGCATTGATTGGATCCCTAGTCGACTCGTATCCCTTCAAGGAAAACGGTCTGGTGAAGAAGACGATCAGTGTGACTTACCAGGGCGTGCCGCACCACCTGGTGTCCTATTACAACGTCGAAGATGTCACAGAGGGCAAGCTGATGACCCCTTCCAAAGATCACCAGCTCTCTACCATTATTCCTAGAGGGGAGTTGATCATGTCGCAAAATTTCCGCGCCCCAATTGACGAGGTCGAGATGGACGACTCCCGAGGAGGTCACGGACTTTTCGCGCAACACTATCCCGTTAACGGCCACCACCAGAGCCTGTCACGAGCAATGTCGGTGCCTTCGCTACACATGAGCGGAATGCCTGCGGCACAGTTCGGCCATCCACCGTACATGTCGTATATGAATCCAGTCCCCGGGTCCGTCAGCAACGTTGGCTATGCGCAGCCTCAACACCCAAATTACGCATATGATAGCCTGAGCCGTGCAGGCCGGTATCCGTCAAGTGCTGGCTTGGCTCCCGACATGTCTCGAAACATGGCACTCGAGTCACAGCACCATCCTCGACGACACTCAACAGCTTACGAGCCCGTCACGGGCCCCGAAATGGGTCTTGCTAGCAGCTTGCCAGCTGTATCAAGCGACCCATCAAGGTCAATGGGTGGAGGCAACTACATGACATCCATGTTGTATTCCCAACAACGCCCTCACGACATGTCTCCTCATGAGCCCTTCCCCTCGCCGTCTCCCCGCCACGTGCACAACGAATCCGGGATGGGCGGTGACAGAAGCGCCCAGGGCTTCCCCATTGAAGGGCTCAATCGCGATACGTGGAACACGTTTGACCAGATAGCCGAGGACGACCAAGGTCAATACATGCCGCAAGGGAGTGCAGGCTGGCCCAGTAGCAACAACAACAACTCGCTTGGTAGGACCTGAAGAGAAGTAGGATTAGAGTCGTTTGCACGTCTCGACTACCGGACTTGTCCAACATGAGGCCGCTGGACATAGAACCAGGACCCAACATTGGTTGGACCGAATCACCAGAGAGGATTGCCCTTGAACGACAGTGTGGAAAATGTTGCGGGGTCATCAAATCCCTCAGGTTACAGAGGGTGACTCTGAATTCAGGCGCCAAGGTGCTTGGTTAGCGCGGCGCCGAGGTTGCGGTTTGCGATGATGTTTTTTGATCCGGAAGAAAACAGAGGTGCGCAAAGCTGAGCGCAACCTACGATCCAGGAGTATGTGATGTATACTGAACAGGGAAAGGGGGGTTTCTTGGGACTACCAAAAAGTTTACCTGTAAGGCAGTTACAGTCTGCAGACACGCATGTTGTACTCAACGCAACGAATCATCATGCGATGTGATCGTTTGTCTAGGTAGTAGGGTATGCGTAGTCTGTAGTGCTCCATTCGATGAGAGTGATTACATAGACAGAGTGGCGCTTTGCTACATTACACTTCAACATACCTTACCTTGTTTAAGGACAATTGAAAATTCAGTCAACTATGCGGCAAAGAAGAATATGCTAGTGGCAGAGGTTTCCTGTTCGTGACATACTTGGAACACGGGCCAATGGTGATTCACGCTTACCAAACGACGGAAACCAAAGGTACCTACATTAGGTACGGAGTACCTTCTTTAGTAAGGTACCTAAGGTAAGCTTCCCGTCCGTTGAGGAAAGAGCTCTGCGCGTACAGCAAGGGGGGGTAGCTCCCGACGTCTTCCACCCGCACGTGAGCTCGTGATCGTCACTCATCCAATCGATCGCGCGAAAACCAAGTGAAGTTCAATTGCGGTCTACGTCGGTGCTCCAGAACACAGACATGCCATTCGTCAGGCTCGGTGGTCGCAGGGCTTTGTCTCTGGCGCAATGCGGTCGTGTACAAAACAGCTTCTGTCCTAGCAGTGGCAATCGCCTTCTCCATGCGTTGCCGTCACCAGCACGGCATCGGCCGACCTTAAAGCTCACTGCCAGTGCCATTCTCAACCACCCGCCTCAGCGTCAATCGCGGCCGCGGCTCGTCGCTCCCTACGTATCGCAGAGCGATGGTAAACCACCCAGGTTTGTCTCCTTCTTTCCCCCGGCCAAGGCCCCTCTTCCCCAATGCATAGGCTGACGTGTGAGATTGCTGCAGCACGGCAAGCAAGATCGTCGCGAAGCTGCCCACGTTACCACCGACCCTGCGCGAAGACATCCGTACCCTCCCGAACCTGCTGACACTCTCGCGCCTCGTGGCCGCGCCGTTTGTGGGCTATTTTATCCTCCACGACCAACATGCCTGGGCCTTGGGCTTGTTCGCGTACGCCGGTGTGACGGATTTGCTGGACGGGTGGATCGCGAGGCGGTGGAAGCAGCAGACTGTTGTCGGGACGGTGATTGATCCGATGGCAGACAAGGCGTTGATGACTATCCTCACTGTGTGCCTCGCCGCTCAGGGGTCTCTTCCGGGTAGGTCCTTTTCTTTGCTGGCTTTGGTCCCCTCCATCTCCGTCTGTCAACGGAGAAGCTTCCCGGGGATCGAATAATGTGATGGGATGTGGCGTGGAAGGAGCTTCGAATGCCTCGCCGACGCTCCCGCCAATCTGAGGGAATAATGTAGACTGACAATTATATGCACCTGACAGTGTGGCTCGCAACAATCATCCTAGGTCGCGACGTGGGCCTCGCCATCTCCGCCATCTACTACCGCTGGATCTCCCTCCCGCCGCCAAAGACCTTTGCACGGTACTGGGACTTTTCCCTGCCCTCGGCCGAAGTACACCCCACGACCATCAGCAAGTACAACACCTTCCTCCAGCTCGTTCTCATCGGCCTCACGACGGCCGCGCCGGTGTTCAGCTATGACCTGTCGACGCCTTTGACAGTCATGCAGTACGTTGACTCCTTTCCCCCTTGCCGGTGCTAGACTTCTTCGTGAAATTGCAGAACATGAGGCGTCTTTTTTTTTTTGAGGTTTGTAGATTCCTCCGTTGTGCTGACTGGAGTCTAGATATGTTGTCGCCACCACCACGATTTGGAGCGGCGCCAGCTACATTTACACCAAGGATGCGGTCAAGATTCTTGCACCGCCGAAGACTCCGCCTCCGAAGGTATAAAGCAACATAACCGCAGCCTCGTGGGGAAGTAAAAATGCAGCTCATCCATCAGGTGAGGTGCAGCAGTGTACGTAACAAATCATGTATAAAAGGGGCGTTACGGAAGGTGGGCAAAATTTTGTAAAATTGAATATACACGCACAAAGGGAGCAAGAAACCTTGGTCCCAGTCGGCAGCTATGGTATTGGTACAAGCAGAAAGACTACGCTTTTCTAGCCTTCTCCAGCTCTACATCAGTCGGCAAGCCCTTCTTTCTAGGTATTCTGCGTAGTCGTTGCGTTACGGCATGTCCTTCTCCCGGCTCTGCTGCCTCTCCCGCCACGGCTTCTCCATGTTGGCTAGGGCAATGCTCTTCTGCTGGCGTTGCACGTAGCCCAACAGACGGAGGCATCCAGACGGCGTGATGCCCTCCAACCGCCTCGCCTGCGCTAGAGTCTCGGGCATGGTGGCTTTGAGAACCGTCTTCTCAGCCATGGCCAGGCCAGGGACCTTGTCGTAGTCGATCGAATCGGGCAGCCTCAGACTTTCGTCCCTGGCAAAGACCTTGCGCTCGGCGAGCTGTCGCTTGATGAATGGTGCGTACGTCGCCTCGATGTGAATGCGGGACTTGAGACGCTCCGGAATGGAGTCTATACTTGGTACCGCGGCAGCGACCTGGTTCCAGGTTACGTCCTTTAGTCGGAGCATATCCATTGCGTT